AAAAGTTTCCTGTCTGTTCAGCTAAAATTAACCTTATGAGCAGCTGTGCTTCCACAGTATTTTGTGTTTTTAATCTAGCACTTGTCACATTCCACCTAGATTTATGATTACAGTATTATAATGTCTTCCCTACCCTATTAGAATCTAACTAGCAGGCAAGAGCCATGTCTTATGCCTCACAGAAATCATCAGTAAGTGGTACAGTACCTTACATAATATAGATGTTTAAACATCTACTAAATTACATCCAATTTGGAGAAATTTAAATATCATTAAATAATGATAAAAACTACATAGAGCAAAATACCAGAAAGAATATGGCAATTACATCCCCTAAAACTTACAAAATGGCCATTCTAATATCTATAATAATAAAAGCATAATATGTTAATTAGACCAGACATCCTTCCAGATGACCTTCTGGATGAAGCCGGGGCTGTGAGAGAAGCCCGGGTCCCGGGTGCCTGCCGGCGGCCAGAGGGAAGCCTGAGTCCTGGGTGCCAGAGGAAAGTTGATGCCGGCAGTTGGGGGAAGGGAGGGCTACTAAGCACAAATTTTGTGCATTTGTCCTCTAGTATAATAATAAAAGCATAATATGCAAATCGACCGAATAGCAGAATGACTATCCAGAAGGCTGGGAGGGTGGGAGGCAGTCAGTGCCAGGAGGGTAGGAGGAGGGCGAAAGGCAGCTGGGGCCGGGAGGCTGTGAGGGCCCCCGCAGTGAGGGCTGCAAAGGCCTACCCTTGCACGAATTTCATGCATCGGGCCTCTAGTTCTAATATAATCAAATACCAATTCATACCCATAAATTCTTTTACACAAAAAGACAATGTAGTTTTGAAAAGTCTGCATGAATAAACAGCCTTAAAATAAATATAAAGTGCTAATACTTAAACTATTAAGCATTATATAATTATAGATTTTAATTAATCAAGATTATTATAGTCCACTATCCTTCACCACTGTATATATTTTAACTACTAGACTATTTTATTCTTTAGCAGAGCTCTACTAAAGTTTTCTAGGGTTAAAATTAATTAATTTGAAACAACTAATAACTATATTCAGATAATTAGGAACCACGAAGTAACTATACCCAGGTTAAATTAAATATTAAAAATATGAAATATCTATAAAGAGAACCAAATCTGTTAAGTTTTACATTGTGTGATTATTATACAAAACCAAATATACTAGATAAGTATAAATTTAAATTTTAGACTTATACATACAGATTCCTTTGAATCTCTTGGTTTAAATTTTGAACTATTTTATTCCTTGCAAGATTTTTACAAGATTCAGGGAATAATAGGACTTAGCCAATTGAGAAAAGATGCTTTGTATACTTGACCTTTGAACTGTGCGGGTCCACTTACATGCAAAATATTATCAATAAATATGTTAAATATGCATAACATCAGTGTTATATACCATGTAAGACAGTATTAATGTAGATACTGATAGACAATCTTGTAAACTAATGACATAAGCATATGGTATGGAGAAATAAAGAACAGTAAATGTATTTTCTCTTCCTTATAATTTTCATAGCATTTTCTTTTCTCTAGCTTACTTTATTGTAAGAATTATATAAATTTAACCTACAAAATATGTATTAATCGTAAAATGTTTGTTATGAATAATGCTTCCAGTCAAAAAGTAGGCTATTAGTAAAGTTTTTGGAGAGTCAAAAGTTATACACAGATTTTTTTACTGCACAGGGACTGATGCCCCTAACCCCCATGCTGTTCAAGGGTCAATGGCAGAAAACCCTATTCTCACAGTCAAGTGTGCTTGCCTAATTTGAATAGCTTCAAGACTAGACAGCAAAGGGTTCTAGACTGATGGACAGGAAATAATGAGTGAAACAGAAACATCTAATTCAATTTTAAGTGCTAAATAATAGCTTTTATTTTGTTTAGAGGCCTGGTGCAAGAAATTTGTGTAGGGTAGGGTCCTTAGGCCTGGCCTCACCGCCTCCCCCTTCCTTCGGCTCCCTCAGCACCCGCCAATGTCGCTGTTCACTTGCCATGTTCCATGCTGCCCCCTGGTGGTCAGCACACATCATTGCGAGCGATCGAACTCCTGCTGTCCTGGTAGAACTCCCAAGTGGGCAATTTGCATATTAGCCTTTTACATATAGATAGATTAGAGGCCTGATGCACAAAATTTGTGCAGGGTAGGGTCCTTAGGCCTGGCCTCCCCATCTCCCTCTTCCCTTGCTCCCTCAGCGCCCCGCCAACTCCGTTGGTCGCCTGTCATGTTCTGTGCTACCCCCTGGTAGTCAGCACGTATCAGAGAGAGCGATCGAACTCCTGCTCTCCTGGTTGAACTCCCAAGGGGACAATTTGCATATTAGCCTTTTATATGTATAGAAGATAGCTTGTGAACTGCCTATAAGAAAGATGTGCTAATAAAAAATATGTTCATGGGTTAGTCAATTTCTATCCTTGGACTCAAGGCCATATGTTGCTAATTATTCAAGAATATATATTAGAAATACTTTGTGTTTACACATTTGTTTTATACAAAGGCAATATATATCAAACAATGCAAAAATGAATTAAAAACTCTTTGGTTTAAAAATATATTCAAAGAAGCAGTACAAAAAAGCAGTAAGAGTAGTACAAAAAGCAGTTATAATGCTAAATAAAATGTCTTATAATTAATAAGCCATGTTTCAACTGATAGACATTTCAATAAAACAGGCTGAGCTACGTAAAAACTAGTTTATGTTCTTTGCATACTGTTTTGTATACGTATTTTATCTTTCTCTACAAAGCTAATTAAAGGTGGGAAATAAGCCAAAGCATTTCATATTCCAACATTATTTTAATATGGCATGTTATGACACCTAGATAAATTGCAGAATTTAGTCTTGGTTGTAAATACTATGATTTAAAAAGTTAATAATGGCCTTCTGTTTTATAAAGAATGCTAACACATATTCAAAAGAATGTCCAAATGAAAGTACAGTATGGTAGACTGGTAATCCGGAAATTTAAATTCTAGGTCCTCACGCTGCCACAAATGAACTATTTAAACTTTAGCAAATATTTACCTCTCTGAGTGGTTGCTTTTATGTTCTACTAGAGGCCCGGTGCACAAAAATTCGTGCACTGGGTGGTGGTGGGAGTTGCCTCAGCGCTCAGCGCGGTCTGCCCCATCTCACAGTCCGGGATCCCTCGGGGGATGTCCTACTGACAGATTAGGCCTGCTCCGCACAGGGAATGGAACTAAGCCACAGTCTGGCCTCCCTCTGTGGGAGGCGACCGGGCCAATCAGGGGAAGGCACCGCTCTCATCCCTCACAGCAGCCACGGCTTTGTCCGGAATGATGTGGGGCTGTCCGGTCTAATTAGCATATTATGCTTTTATTATTATAGATTCTAGAAATTAGGATTTGGTTCATATGAGCAAGGTTTTTTACCTAAATATAATCTGTATATTAATACTGCTTAATTAAGAGAATTATAAAATATTAGACACTGAAAATTCAAATAGGAAAATTTAAGTCCTATATGAACAAATACAATTAAATATTAATCATATATTTTGAAAGTTAAAGACAGTCAAACAAGAAGAATAGTTAAATGTGTTAATAAAAGCATAATCGGAACAGGAAATCATACAGCAAACAAGTACCCCAGTTTGTGGCTCAAAGATATTATAAATTCACTAGAGGCCCAGTGCACAAAATTCATGCGGGGGGAGGGGGGACGTACATCAGCTGGGGCTGCACGCTCTCCAATCCGGGATCCCTCTCATAATCTGGAACCACTGGCTCCTAACCGCTCACCTGCCTGCCTGCCAGATGCCCCTAACTGCTCCCCTGCCAGCCTGATCCCCCTAACTGCCTATCTGCTCTCCCTTCCTGGCCTGATTGCCCTCCTATATGCTCTCTCTTCCTGGCCTGATTCCCCTAACTGCCTAACTGCTCTTCCCTCCTGGCCTGATCCCCCTAACTGCCTATCTGTTCTCCCCTCCTGGCCTGATCCCCCTAACTGCCTAACTGCGCTCCCCTCCTGGCCTGATCGCCCTAACTGCCTATCTGCATTCCCCTCCTGGCCTGATCCCCCTAACTGCCTATCTGCTCTACCCTCCTTGCCTGATAGCCCTAACTGCCTATCTGCTCTACCTTCCTCTCCACACCCTTCGGACCCCCAGCACAGGCGTGCTGAGAGCTCTCCACCGTGGCCCCGACCCCGTCCTGATTGGTCATTATGTGATGGCGTTCTAGACAATTTGCATATTCCTCAATTATTAGTATAGATGATTCATCTATTTTAGAATGTTGATAATTAGTAACATCTGCATGAACATTAGAAGCATGATATAAAATTGCCACATAATTGCTAACTGATTCTGAAACTAAGTCTACTTTACTCTGGAAGGACAAAAATCAAATTATTTTTATGAAGAAGCAATTCTATGACAAGCTTATGACAGTGTTCAAAGGCATCATCCTAATACTACTGTATAATGGCTACAGGCTGTAGGGGAGCCATACAGCATTTCTACTTTTGTTCTTCATGAGATTCATTTGGCAAAAAAGAATTGAGAGTGCTATACAATTCTATCTTCAAATTTCATCTTTAGATCAAGTATAAAACTGAAGAGAGGAGGCCTCAGAGCTTAGAATCACCAAAGGAACAAACTCCTTACACAGATTTCTATATTCAGAGAAGGAAATCTTTTATTGCTCAAACAACCTGTGAGTAAATAAATTTCATCATGGACCCTAATTCACCCACCAAAAGAGTCAATGAATTTAAATAGGACTGTACTAAAATTCTTTAAAAGACAATATGAAAAATGGGGTAACTGTTCATATTTTGCCAAACCACAGTATAAATTTTATCAATCCTAAACTGATTGTTATAGATTAAATCAATTTGATTATATAATGTGAAACTTTACTCCTAAAAATTGCAAAGCACAAAATATATATTAAGATCTTCAAATAGCCCATCAAATTTGTTTTTTAAAAAAATATCTTACTGTAACGAAGTCATGCCCTTTAACCATTCTTCCTTGGTAAAAAATCCCATGCTTTCAGCCTCCAATTTCCACGCTAAAACTAACATAATAATCTGGAAAGAACAGAACATAAAGGATAGGGGAAAAGTCAGCATAGAGATAATCATGTCTATATTTATCATGGAGAGCATTTTTATACAACTATTTCCTTCGTTCTAATATTAAAGAGTACAACCTTTGGATTTATTATCTATAAAGAAACTTAGATGGGACCAATTTCATAAAAGTAAAAAGTTCTAACAGTTTCTGAAGGTAGAATCACCCTCACTCTATTACAATTGACATTTGTATCAAGAAAGAGAACTTGGGCCCAATTTAAATTGATTAAAAATATCCTAAGTAAAAATTTACAATAAACATGAAGAAACAAAATCTTCACGTAAGATTAGGTGTCCAAATTTTTAGAAATTTATGAATATGCTATACCCCACTTATATTTCATTCTACTTAGAAATAAAACATACATTTTCAGGTTCAACACCAATGTCTTCACAAAACTTTTCCATTCCTTCTGGCCCTACAACTTCATCAGGACCTTCAAAGACAAAAATAATTTATATATTTTATTGTTATAATTTAATATCAACATAAAATATAAACAATTATGCTAAAGGCATCTATGAATATACCGTAACATTTTCGCAAATAAATGATTTTGAATTTTGACATATCTTTGATAAAGTAGTATAAACATTTGCTATAGAATTTAACATTTTAAATTTTTGAAATGCTCTTAAAATACATTACAAAATAAAATTTAAAAATTAAAAATGAAGCAGCATTAATATCAATCACTAGTTTGTACAATAACTTGAATCTATCCATTTAAAAAATATTTACTGAGAGCTCTAAAGAAAACTGTTGTGCATAGATATAAAGTAACATAATAAGGTTTAAGCTTTTTACTCTACTAGAATGTGCCAGTAGCAATCCACGATTTTAGATAATAATCAGAAGAGAATGTCTGTTAGTTACTAAAACAGAAGATCATTCATTATCCTTTTGAAATATTCCCAAATAAAATTTAACACTTTAATAAAAAGATATACATATTATAAAAATATGACGTAAGGGAATTACTACATTCCAACTCCAGAACATTTTCTTATCATCTTGGTTCTTGAATAAACAGTAAAGCATTAGTTATGTAAAAACAAAAGTTTAATCCTTTAATTAGTTTGTCTATCATTTGTTCAAAAGTTAACGATACGTTTATTTTTCTCTCTTAGTAACACTAAATGTAAGTCAATACACCAATTCCCATATTCTTTCATGTCATCAGATCCCCAAAATATAATAATATCATTGTTAGGTCTTTTTTTATTATTGGATAAGATTAAAACAAATCTGTGACAACATGGCTGGACTGTGAGGGCTAAGTGAAATAAGTCACACAGCCGAAACCGGTTTGGCTCAGTGGATAGAGCGTCGGCCTGCAGACTGAAAAGTCCCAGGTTCGATTCCGGTCAAGGGCATGTACCTTGGTTGCGGGCACATTCCCAGTGGGAGATGTGCAGGAGGCAGCTAATCGATGTCTCTCTCTCATCGATGTTTCTAACTCCCTCTCTCTCTTCCTCTCTGTAAAAAAATCAATAAAATATATTTTAAAAAATTATTTAAAATGAAATAGGTCACACAGAAAAAGATAAATACTGTATGACTGATTAACTGATATGTGGATATACATTAAAAAAACAAAAAACAACAGACCGAACAGAAAAAACAAAACAAAAAAACCCTCACAAATACAGAGAACAAATTGGTGGTTGCCAAAGGTAGGCAAAATGGGTGAAAGCAGTCAAAGATACAAACTTGCAGTTATAAAAAATAAGCCCTGGGATGTAATGTACAGCATAGTGACTATAGTTAATAATACTGTATTGTATACTTGAAAGTCACTAAAAGTGTAGATCTACAAGTTCTCACCACAAATAAATTTTTTGGTAACTATGTGGTGATAGATGTTAACTAGACTTATTTTGGTAATTATTTTGAAAAATATATATATATATCTCCAATCATTATGTTGCACACCTGAAAGTAATGTTATATCTCAATTTTACAAGGCTAAAACAATATGAAGTATGATAGAAATATGTTTACCACACTTGACTTTGGAAAAGATAGACTTGAAATATTAAATTAGCCAAGGGAAACTTTCTTAAGGACTAAAAATACTCCAGCTTTATAAATCATGGACTAAACCAAGGCAGCTCAGGTGGCATTTTATATAGCCATATTTATTTCACAAGCGCAATGTGAAGCTAATGTCTTTAAGTTTGTCTCTTAGTAGAAGAATGTAGTCATCCAGTATGTGGCAATATACTCTTGCTGTTTCAGATGGGATCCATGCTGCTATGATGATGTGATCTTAATCAAAACACTTTCAAATTTTTTGGTCTAAATTTTTTTACTGCACAGCCCTAGCAGGTTTGGATCAGCGGAGAGAGCGTCGGCTTGCTAACTGAAGGGTCCTAGGTTCAATTCCGGTCAAGGGCACGTACCTCGGTTGCAGGCTCCTGGCCCTGGTTTGGGGCATGCAGGAGGCAACCAATCGATGTGTCTCTCATATCGGTGTTTCTCTCTATCTCTCCCTCTTCCTTCCACTCTCTCTAAAAATCAATAGGAAAAATACCCTCAGGTAAGGATTTTAAAAAAGGAATACACTTTTTTTATGCAGTAAGGTGTTAAAAGATGAAGAGGGTGACAATTAGAGGAAACTTTCACTTCCTTATACCTGGAGGATTTTTTTAACAAGATGTGTTAAGTAATTTAAAAAGCACATATCCTATACAATAAAAGGCAAATATGCATATCAACCGAACCGCAGAACGACCTGTCACTATGAGGCGCACTGACCACCCGGGGGCAGACACTGAACGCAGGAGCTGCCCTCTGGTGGTCAGGCACTCCCACAGGGGGAGTGCCACTCAGCCAGAAGCCGGGCTCATGGCTGGCGAGCGCAGCGGCGGTGGCAGGAGCCTTTCCCGCCTCTGCAGGAGTGCTAACGATGTCCGACTGATGGCTTAGGCCGGCTCCCCGCGGGAAGCAGGCCTAAGCAGTCAGACATCCCCCCGAGGGCTTCCAGACTTCGAGAGAGCTGAGGGACACCCCCCTCCCACCGCCAATACACAAATTTCATGCACCAGACCACTAGTATACAATAGAGCTATAAAAAATGTATCTGGCCCTAGCCAATTGTACAGTGGTTAGAGCATCAGCCCTTGGACTAAAGGGTCGCAGATTCAATTCTGGTCGGCAGGTACCTCGGTTGCAGGCTTGATCCCTGGCCTCGTGGGGACATGTATGAGGCAACCAATTGATATGTCTCTCTCACAATCGATGTTTCTTTCTCTCTCTCTCTCTCTCTCTCCCTTCCATTCTAATAGTCAATGAAAAAAATATCCTTGGGTGTAGATTAACAAAAGTGTGACTCAGTGATTGAGCATTGACCTATGAACTAGAAGGTTGCAGTTGGATTCCTGATCAGGGCACATGCCTGGGTTGCAGGCTCAATACCTAGTAGAGGGAGCAGGGGGGGCATGCAGGAGGTAGCCGATCAGTGAGTCTCTGTCATCATTAATGTTTTTATCTCTTTGTATGTACAGTTTTAAATATAAACATATATTTGAAGATATATATATATATGTGTGTGTGTGTGTGTATATATGTATCTGAATATACATCCTTATATGTGGTTTGAAAGTAAATATCATATAAAAAATGTAATAGAAGAAAACAAAGGTATTTTTTAAGGCATGGTAGGAATATATTCTAAATTTTTCTATGCAGCAAAAGCTGACTTACTCTTGAAGCTGCCATCTTTAGTAATTAGAAGAGAAAACTGAAGAGTTTGTCAAAAAATACCAGTTACTGTTATAAAATATAGCCTCCCTAGACACTGTGAAATTAGTTAGTGATGAAATTTTATTAAAATTAAGTTAAATTATGTTATACCAAGATATATAAGATACAGATAAGACTTTCTGCAAATGTACAAGGCTTTCCCAAAGTAACACAAGTAGTAACAGATCTAATCTAAAATAAGGTCTATACCAGCCGTGGGCAAACTACAGCCCACGGGCCGGATCCAGCCCGTTTGAAATTAATAAAACTAAAAAAAAAAAAGACCGTACCCTTTTATGTAATGATGTTTACTTTGAATTTATATTAGTTCACACAAACACTCCATCCACGCTTTTGTTCCAGCCCTCTGGTCCAGTTTAAGAACCCATTGTGGCCCTCGAGTCAAAAAGTTTGCCCACCCCTGGTCTATACCAATGTTCTTTTATCAGATTGCATAATGTTAATTATTCTTCTTAAAACATACTCTTCCAATAAAACTACTCCAGGGAGCTGAATTTAACTAACTTTCAAACAAAAACCAGATTTCTAATCAATTTTAAAAGCTATAGAAATGAACCAGCTAGATACTTTATTAGGATTATGTAATTCTATCCCTAATTTTGATTCTTTGTAAGACTTTAAACATGCCTTTTACTTTCCATGCTTTTTGTTTTGTAACAGGCCCAGTATATTACTGAATCCTTGCTAATTTAAATATTAGTCAAGATGAGAGGTCTTGTGAAAGGGCAAAACCATCAGGCTTATCACATATAATGTATTAATATTATGTTAATAAGGTTACTGGTAAAATATTTTAATAACCATATAGAAATGTTCCTGGCTATGTATGTAGATAAAAAACCGTGTCAGCCACAGCAGATCAGGAAAAAAATCTATGCTAAATGAATGGCACAGCACCTTGTACATGAGCTACATAGGAGCTATACTGGTAATTTTGGAACTGTATTGCAAACATATATAACCAGTAAATCTGATGCTGTAATACTATTACTCTTTTAATAATAAATAACATTTATTGAATTCTAATTATGTACCAGTTACTGGGCTAAGAGTTTTACATGCGTTACCTCAGTAGGCACATTTACTGTTTCTATTCTAATAAGCAACACTCCCATTTTATGATGGAACAGTAACTGTTTACTTGGCTAATAACTCGTTCCTCCTTGTCAATTGGTTCTCTGCCCATTGTAACCTCTAGAGAGGCCTTTCCTAATCACTCTACTTGAAAATCCAAACTTCCTACTTTCTATCCCTGAACCTCACCATATTACCTTTATAACCCTCCAAAATCTGTAATTATCTTGCCTACTTACCTATTTACTCTCTGACTTCCAATTAGAAGGCAAGTCCCCCAAGGACAAGGGCCCATTTTTACTTGTTCACTATTATATTCCCAACACTTAGAGAGGGGCTGATACACAAGTGCTCAAAAAATATTTTTTGAATGAATCATTCCATGAATGACAGAAGTTAAGTTAACCTCAAGTGTACTTATTAATATTTTCTTTGCAACAGGAAAATTAGTTGCCACATACATATTTAAAAAACAAACAAAAACCATGAGATAGTAATAGTTAAAAGCATAGGATCTACAATCAAAATGACCTAGGTTTGCATTTTGGCTCATCATTGCATATTGCATTATCTTAAGCAGATTACTTAATCTAA